AAAAAAAAAAAAGATGGAGACTCTTTCCTGTTTCCTGTTTACATGGATGGAGCTGGAACATATTCTTCTCAGCAAAGTATCTCAAGAATGGAAGAAAAAGTATCCAATGTACTCAGCCCTAGTATGAAACCAATTTATAGCTTTCACATGAAAGCTATAACACAACCATAGCCCAAGAAGAAGGGGAAAGAGGAAAGGGAGGGGAAGGGAGGTGGGAGGGCAATTGGTGGGAACACAACTATAGTGCATTTTACAAGGGAACATGTTAAATTTACTAAATGTAGAATATAAATGTCTTAATACAATAACTAAGAAAATGTGGTAAAAGCTATGTTAACCAATTTGATGAAAATATTTCAAATGGTATATAAAACCAGCACATTGTACCCCATAATTGCATTAATGTACACAGCTATGATTTAAGAAAAAATTATCAGAATATTATTCTACTTCAATGTTTGCTGTAGCTTATTGGTCATACTGGACATGTTTTTAATGTTAAAACATTCCTAATTTTCTTAATGTTATAAGTTACCATGATTAGTCTTCATATGTGCTCTAAGTGACTTCTGTTTCTGGAGATGGATCATAGATAGATAGATAGATTCTTGTAGATTATACTTGATTAAACTCAGGGAATCTCCTCACAAAAGTACAGATTCTATTTATAGAATAGGGGTAGTGGAGTATTTAGTGATGGCAATCAATGTCTGGGAGGAATTACTCTCCTCTGCAGCATACAATTCACTTAATGGTCCATGGAAGTTCTCCCTCATATCCTCTATATGAAGAGTCACTGTCATTCTCCTCATTTTGATAGAAAGTCTGAGACTCGGAGAAGCTAATAATTTGCCCAATATCATACAGTTAATAATTGATGTTGAGATTATGGTCTGTGTTCATGATATTAATTATTTTTACATTTCCCATAATGTGGAAAGCAGGATTGATGGTTCTAGTTTCACTGATGCCCAAAGATACTTCAACTCATCCTTCTAGATAAGACTAGAAACAAATATTTGTAACCCAAAATAAATATTTGAAAGGCAAGTTTATTTTAATTTCATGTAACTTTACAATTATCATGTCTTACAAAAGATTACAGAAGTATTTTTTATCATTTATTTTAAAATTTACTTTTTTGCATTTGATAGTAAAATAATACTTTCAACCTTGATGGTTTGTAGAAATAGAATATCCACATTAAAACTTTAACTAATATTAAAGTAATTAGTATTCTTAAAATTATCCAGTAGGAAATTAGGCATAGAAGAAACATACCTCTAAATAATAAAGGCCATATACAACAAACTCACAGCAAATACCACACTGAATGTGGAAAAGCTTTAAAGTATTTTCTCTAAGAACTGGAACAAGATAAGGAAGCCCACTTTGATCACCCCTACTCACACAGTACTGGGAGTCCTGGACAGAGCAATCAGGCAAGAAAAAAGAAATTAAAAGCATCCAAATTGGGGAAAATTGAAGTCAAATTATCATGTTTGCTGATAACATGATCTTATATCTGGGAAAATCTAAAGACTTCACACACACACACTAAACCCTCTTGTACTGTATTTAATCAATTTAGTCAAATTGCTGTGTACAAAATCAATGTGCAAAAATCAGTGGTGTTTCTATATACCAATGACGATCCAGCTAAGGTTTAAATCAAGAACACAATCCCATTTACAATAGCTACACTAAACAATGAAATAGCTACTAATATACTTAAATTAGGATGTGAACAATCTCTACAGAAATACTACAAAACACCAATGAAAGAAATTATAGATGACACACTCAAATGGAAAAATGTCCCATGTTCATGAATCAGAAGAATTAGTATCATTAAAACATCCACAGTGCCCAAAGAGATCCACACATTCAATGCAGTCTTTATCAAAATATTGATGCCATTTTTTGTAGAGTTAGGAAAAAATTCTAAACTTCACATGGAGCCAAAAAGCATCCAAACAGGCAAAACAATCCTAAGCAAAAAGAGGGAAGCTGGAGGCATCACACGGCCCACCTTCAAATTACAGTACAAGGTGACAGCAACCAAAATAACACGATGTGGGTATCAGGACAGACATACAGGCTCATGGAACAGAGAAGAGAATCTAGAAAGAAAGCCCACACATTTACAGACAGTTGATTCTCAACAAAGCTGAAAAGAACACTCATTGCAGAAAGGATGATAAACAGTACCTTTTCCAACTTCTTGGAAGACTCCTGACCTTGGTTTGCCGCAGCGCTACTCATGATGGCAAAGGTACAGAATTAACCCACACGCCTATCAATGAATGACTTGACTGGACAAAGAAAACGTGGTGCATGCCCACAGTGGAATACGACTCAGCCACAAAAAGAAAGGAACCATATCTTTTGCAGCTGGAGATCACTGTGTTATGTGGAATGAGCTGGAGACAGAAGGATAAACTTCGCAATTTCTTACTCATAAGTGATTGACTGAAGAAGAGTAGCCGTGGACGGAGAGATGAGTGATAAAGTGAGGAGGCTCAGAAGGGGGCCGGGCTGAGAGTGGGCACACAGCGGAGGACGACTCCACGGTACCATGTGTTTGATTCCAGCGGTGGGTGCCCTAAACGCCCTCACTTGACCTCTATTCAATCCATGCATGTAACAACATTGCACCTGTTTCCCATAAATTGATATAAATTAAAAAAATACCATTGCTGTCTCAAATAATCCTTTTCTGTTGTCCCACTTTATAAAAACCACTGACACTGACGGTCTACTTACTTCTGAGGTAATATTGCATACAGAAACACAAGCCACCAAGGTCATTACTGTGCCAAAGACCACAGTGATTTGAAGCTTGGAAAATGTTGATGTCATTATCTGTAACCGTTTAAATGACTTTCCATTGAAATATACCTCTGAGAAATATTCAGAAAAAAAAGCGGGGGTGGGGGGGACTACAAGCTACAGTTTTATGCTACCAAGTGTTTCTTACCATATTATCCCCAGGTCAAAATTCTTGTGTAATGGTTTACAAAGACAATGTTAATTTTGTAGGAAACAATACAAAGAGACATTGCTTTGTAACCCTTGGTGCCAGTCAACCATGACAGCCACTGGCCTGGGGATCTGTAGCCTTGGATCTTTATTTCCTTTTACATATTTTTAAAAATAACAGATGCCTACATTTAGCCTGAGGCAGTAATGACTGCTTTGATGAAAGTAGCCTCAATTATAATTGAAATAAATGAGGGTGCTGTTCAAATTTTCTTTTTAAAGACTCTGAAAATTTCGGTTTTAGCTATTGGTTCTTAATCTTAGTCTCACTGACTGTGCACTCACCTAAGCAACGCAAAGCAAAAACCTCTTTGAAATCAAATCTAGAGACCAAATTTGCATTGTATCTAGGTTTGGTGGTTTACATCTGAACAGAATAGTGTTAAACACACTCATCCCTGTCATACCAGCTCTAACATGCATGAATTTTACTCAACTCCTGGGTCAGTATTTATAAGTACATAAAAATCAAGTAAAAAGACTAGAACTCTGTTAAAGAAAGTTGAAAATTAACATACTAAGTACTAAGCCATGTGACTTTTATGGAATTTTTGAATACATGAGAAAATGATGTTTTTACCAGAAATAAATTTGCAAAACCCCAATCAACCCATATGATCTCAAGATGTATTATTCTCTTTTGAGACATAACAATACTATTTCATTGAATTGTTTTACTATCATTCTTTCTCACAAATACACAGTGGAAATAAGCAAAGTTCCTTGATGCAATGAAATATAAGGTAAAAACCATGCTCTCAAACAGCAGATTACCACTAAAAAGGTTTGCTGTGCTGCCCTCACACAAACCAAGAAAGAGAAGCTCTGCTTCCCCTGAAGTCATAGCATATCCCACATTGAGATTAAACACGACGTAGGCTGCTCTACTCTCAGGAAACTGTCTATGATTTTATTGCCCTCTCTTATAAGCCAAATTATGCTTCATGAGAGTTAGAAAAATATTAAAACTTATGTCAAATTTTCTAATACTCTGTTAGACCCAATTGGGGTGTTTGTTTTTTTTTTTCTTTTGTTCAGACAGATAAAATAGCTAAAACTGTCAAGTAAAAATATGTATTTGTGTCCCTTGGAATTTCTAATATTTATGAGGTAACATTAGCACAGCCAGGAGAACAGATCATACTTTTAAATAGTAGATACTTTACAGAAACAGATTTTATATCTTTACTCAAATATTTCACTACTCCTATATACTCACATTAATATATTTCATAGTATTTATCCCACAGTTGAATGTAGAATGAGGCATTTTGCCAACCTCTGTCTAATTTACAACAGAAATGTAATGCAGATTTCTCCCAGTTGCCCCAATGGCGCCAATATAATCTCATTAAGTTTTCTTTTGCATTTGGCCAACCTTTTATAAAATCACAACGTAGATAAAACTTCATAATCATCTTACTGACACAAACAGAAAGAAACCCTCATTATTTGTCTCTTTGGAAAAGCCCTTAATGATAATAGACACAATCTTACCTCTATCACTGAAGTCGTCTACGAGGATGATTTCCGCGATCAGGCTCTCGGGGGTCCGGTTAATGATGCTGTGTATGGTTCTGAGCAGTGAAGTCCAGCCTTCGTTATGGAACGGGATAATGATGCTGGTGTTTGGCAGCCTTTCCAGGTACATCTTGTGCTTACAGCTGGAGACAATGGGGGAGGCATGTTAAACACCAAACTACATTATATATTATACTGCTGTTTATTCAGATGTTATCAGCGTGGCTTGATTTGGTGTCTTCCCATTCAGAGGCTGAACATCACCATAGTTACCCCACTCATTCATGGAGGTCATTACTGATTCTCTTTCACACTCATTCTTAAACAAACATTTATTTCATCCCCTTTTTATTTTTAATTTTTTTGAGACAGAGCCTCAAGTTGTCCCCCTGGGTAGAGTCCTGTGGCATTGCAGTTCACAGCAATCTCCAACTCCTGGGCTTAAGTGATTCTCTTGCCTCAGCCTCCCAAGTAGCTGGGACTACAGGCACCTGCCACAGTGTTCAGCTATTTTTTGGTTGTAGTTGTCATTGTTGTTTGGCAGACCAGGGCTGGATTCAAACCGGCCAGCTCTGGTGTATGTGGCTGGCACCTTAGCTGCTTGAGCTACAGGCACCAAACCTTCATCCTCTTTTTAAATAGGGACTCAAGTATGAAATGCTGGAGTCTCATTGGTGCAGATTTTCTCTACCTCAGGATAAACAATGTGAATCAAGATTTTTGCCACCAAACACATGATTATGGTTTAGATGGGTTTCCTGAAGAGTTCTGAAAATTTAACTTCTGTAATATCTATGATGAATTAGTCAATTTTGATTTTGGACGGTTTTAACATCCAGGCAGTATTTAGGTCTGTAATGGGGGAAAACAACCACAGCCTTTCAATGTAATAAATGAAGATTTAATCTAAAACCACTGTGACCTGATATAATCCATCACAAGATTACATGATGGTCTAAACCCAAGACATTACCACATTCCTAACGGGAACTATAAAAACTAAATCTCAAGGTGATTTTTTCATCGATGAAACAGTGTGAGGAGACAAGAAGTATTTTTTTTCAAGTATTGAATAATCACATTTTATTGATTATATTATCTAAGTTCAGACTACTGGTTTGCCACTTTCCTATGTGACAGTGGGCAAGTTGTTTAACTTAGAAGGAATAGTTGTTTTTTTTAATGTGGAGTAATGTGGGACCACAACACAAAAAATAAAACAAAATTTCATAATGTGTTAATGAGAATTAAATCAGGTAACACATGAAAAGCACTTTATGCAGCATTATATCTATAAATACTATCATTATTGCAGTCATTGTTGTTTAAATTGCTAATATTTTATCTGTCAAATCCTCTCTGGAAGGAGGTGGGGAACCACATAAGGGAAAGTGAGAGAGACACAGGAAACAAGATGAATAAATAAATTTTGGCCACTTCCCTTAAGGGGCACAGACCAGTGGACAGATACATAAAGCAATTAAACTCAAAAGAGACAAGTGACATAATAGATGTCACACAGGCACGGATAGCCTCAAGTGTGACTAACTTTGTCTGAAAGAATTAGGGACATCTTTATAGATGGGTCTGTAAGGTTGGGAACAGATAATACAAGATCCTGAAATCGATTCTAAGGAATCTGGAACTTAGCCTGAAGTCAACATGAAATACTTCAAATATTGTTAACCGTGAGGAAGCCTGAACCACACGTGCATATTTCTCTGGCAGCAGGGTGGACAGTGCCAGGGAGATGGCAGAGACCAGAGGCAGAAAGAGTTGAGGTTGTAATACCTCTCGCCAAAATAAAAAGAAGGAGGAGCAGTGGGGGAGGAGGAGAGGGATGGGGAGGAAGAGAAGGAGAATGAGGAGGGGGGCGGGGCAGGAGGGTCCAGATTGGAATTTTACTCTAAGGAGAAGCAGCCTCCTGTAACAGCATTTAATCTGAGTTATATTCAGTCATTCTAACACCTAAGCCACTCCAAAGAAAACTGTATTCACTACCAAACTCAGGCATTGGATCTGAGAAGTTGAGATCCAGGCGGCGGCTTCCGAGCCTGACTAGAGACAGTGGAGCACACCCAGGGCATGACTAAGAATCTGCCCTTGTGTATTTTAGGTTGTTGGGTTGAGAACAAAAGTTTGTTAAATGTGAAAGCAATTTAACAACATGGAACTGTGTTGAAGAAACAAGTAAAATAAAGTTAAACACAATTAGTGTGTTTATGGTTATAATTATGCAGCAAAACTCCAAATACAAGAAAAAAACATAAGGACAAATTAAAACATCTTTTGCAATAAGTTTCTAGGGATGTGGGTGAAAATGCCTGTAATTATCGCATTTGATTTGCTATATTATGTTCAGATAATCACATGCATAAAAGTAACGTAGACTTTGGAATGGCTCAGAGATGAAGACATCTTTTGTTGGGTAACAATTTATGAAAGTGGTGGGAAATTCATTATTCCCATTTTAAATCCCCCAGGAAGACAAAAGAAATAGTTTAAATTATGTAGAAATATAGTTGAGAGAAATGACAAATTGTGAAGGCATTTAAAAAGCTGACAAGAAACCAAATTGGTCTGTAAACATTCTGCTAATCCTTTCAGAGTAATAAAAATAAACTGCAATAGCAAATTTCTCATACTCTTTTATGTTTTTTCCGAAACAGAATAAACAAATATTTTGTGATGTCCTATACTGGCATTTGCTAAACTGAGAGATTTTTAAAAAGAAACTTAGTTTAACAGTATAGTTTTCTTTAAAACATGCTTAATTTGTTCTTTTCAGGGTATATTAATTTATCATTCCATTAATTTCACAAAAATATAAGTGCTTTTTGCCTATATGTAGTGAACACAAAATAAATTTTAATTGCAAATATACAAAACAACTAACAATTATTAGTGACCTTTTTTATCTAAGAGATATTTCAGTATATATGACTAGTATCAAAATTTACACTGCAGGTACTTAGATGACTGTTATTTGGGGTTCTTAAGACCTTCATGAGCTCCATACCATCATGGAAACATTTCTTTTCTTTCTTTTTTTTTTTTGAGACAGAGTCTCGCTTTGTCACCCTTGGTAGATTGCTGTGGTGTCATAGCTCTCAGCAACCTCAAGCAATTCTCTTCCCTCAGTCTCCCAAGTAGCTACAGGTACCCTCCACAGTACCCAGCTATTTTTAGAGATGGGGTCTCACTCTGACTCAGGCTGGTCTTGAACCTGTGAGCTCACACAATCCACCCACCTCAGCCTTCCAGAGTGGTAGGATTACAGGTGTGAGCAACCACACCTGGCCTAAACATTTCTTCTCACTACCCATTGCTATGTATTTATTTACAGAAACAATGTCAAACCCTATATTTTAAAAATTCAAACCCTGGGATTGCAGCCTTGAGCAAAACATTTGGATAAGAGTGTTTGCATATTTCAATTCTTGGATCATACCATTAACTTACTCAAAGTACAAATTTATTGTCTTCTTTTGTTTTTTGGTTTTACTTTGTTTCGAATTTACTTTTACAACTATATCAGTCAGGGTGTCATGTTGTAGTAATAAACACCCTCAGATTTCAATGGCTTTAAAATAAAGATTAGTCTCTTGTATCTTTAAACTGCCCAGCCCTGGTTGGGAGGATCTTCTCTGGTGATCACAGTGAGAATTGTCAATTTCTTGACCACTACATGGAAATAAGTCATTAATAGGTCTTAAGCTGGTTAGACTTTTTTTGTCCTTTCATTGCTGGAATTAAGTTTTAGAGCAGTGGTTTTCAACTGGTGTGCCCTGAGAGGAGCTCAGGTGTGCTGCAAACATTGTTAAAGATCATTCATTAAATTATTTTTGAAAGAAGTTCACAGCACAGTAAGTAGGTTCTTCTTTTTTTATACTCTTTTTTTTTTTTTTTCTGATGGGCATAATTTAACTGTGCCTTGGAAATTTGACTGTAGATTCAAATGTGAGATAAGAAAGGGTGAAAAATACTTTTAGAGAGTCAGCAGTTATTCCTTTGCAATTTTAAAGGTTTTCCAATTTAGAGCAAATGTATTTAAGATTAGGAGTTGTAACAAATTTTATTTTATTTTTTGAGACAGAGCCTCAAGCTGTCCCCCTTGGTAGAGTACTGTGGCATCACAGTTCACAGCAACCTCCAACTCCTGGGCTCAAGCGAGTCTCCTGACTCAGCCTCCCCAGGTGCTGGAACCACAGGCGCCCGCCACAGTGCCTGGCTATTTTTTTTTTTTTTTTTTTGGTTGCAGCCATCATTGTTGTTTGGCGGGCCCAGGCTGGATTCGAACCCCCCACCTTAGGTGTATGTGGCTGGCGCCTTAGCCACTTAAGCCACAGGCACCGAGCCTATAAAAATTCTTAATCAAAATTATGAGGGCAAAAAATGTGGTTACATATTCAACAGTGATATACATGAAAGACAATAATAGAGAGCAGAGACCAGCCCCAGCGCGGCCCCCTGAGGCGGCACTCACTTGGCGTGGCGGATGTCGGGCAGGGACCTCTCCAGGGCAATGTTGTTGCTGACGAAAATATTGAAACCATTTTCCCTGTAAGCAGAATCGTCGCGGTCCTCTTCCGTGAGGGGGTAAGGCTTCCCGTGCTCGCCTTTCCCTACAGGAGAAAACAAAATGAGATCCTGACCTGAGTACAAATTGTTTCATTTTCTAGAAAACATAGGAAGCCGTGAACGTGTGTGCTTTTTAAGCCACCAATTGCGGTGACTTTGATCAGGAAAATAAAATACACTTATTAAAAGCAAACGAGAGAGGTGGAAAGTAGAATCTCACCTTCCAGAGACTGAACCACTACCAAGTCATAAGCATATGTTTGCTAACAACCGTTGCAGATTCTAATATATTAATGCATTATAAATTGATTTTTTCCAAAATATATTCTGTCTTCTCATTTATTTTCAATAGTTGATGTGAATTTATTGTATTCCAATTCATATCCTACCATTCTATTTCTAATTTTCCTATTACAAACAATGTTCAAATGAACACTTCTGCTTCTATTTCCCAGCTTGGTATTTTTGGAAAGGGAAGTATAAATTCCTGGAAATGGACTTTCTGGGATAGTTTCAAAGTGAGTATGGCAGTATTCACATGTCCTCAGATGTATTGCATCATACTTCCAAATTCATTGGTAAAATTTACAGATGGTGCCAAAAAATGTGTACACGTTTTAAGAAAGAAAAAAATCTGTATTGTAATACTCAATATATACTGATGTTTGTTATCATGTATCTTGTATCTCTTGTACTTGCAGAAGTCAAATGTGATTTGAGTTTTCAATTTTAATACAGTTTTTTCCTTTCTTAAAATGTGTACCCATTTTTTTATCACCCTCTGGATATTCTTCACATTGTAGTTAGCCTTTTCTTAATAACTAATGATATTAATAATCTCATATCTTTATCATTTGTATTTGTTACATTGTAAAATGATTGTTCACGGATTAAAGAACAATTTTAGAGTTTATTTTGTAATAAAATATTACAATAAAATGTTTTTATAAAAAATATTTCTAATTACATATATGGAAAATATTGTCTAAGTTTACTTCATTACATTTAATGCAGCTGGTTTTATTTTTTTATTCATAGTTTCTCATTTATGTGTTAAATTTAGAAAAAAAATTCTTTCCTATGCCAATATTCATGAATTTAGAGTTTGACTAATATTTTATTTTTGTTTTATCTATTTAAATTTTGAACCATATGGAATTTATTCCAGTGTGAGAAGTGAGGTAAATATCATTTGCATGTTTTCCTCTTTATAAATAATTCACATGGCTTTCTTGTCTAATTACATAGCTAAAAATAAATAATGTTGTTAACAGACATTTGCTCTGATATTGACTTGAATATGACAGCTGATAATGGCAGATATAAGCTGACTACTAGAAATGTATTTGTATGTATTTGCATAACAGTCTTACCATGTTAAGACTACTTCTAGTATGAGATGAGCCTGAGCAAGAGCAAGACTCCATCTCTACTAAAAATAGAAAAACTGGCTGGGTGGCAGGTACCCATAGTGTCAGCTATTCCAGAGGCTGAGGCAGGAGGATCTCTTGAGCCCAGGAGTTTGAAGTTGCTGTGAGCTATGATGACACCATGGCACTCAACCCAGGGTGACAGAGTGAGACTCTGTCTCAAAAAACAAAACTACTATTTCTAGTACTTTTTATCCAATATTTTCAATTAATTGAACATAAAAGTTTACAAAGTGCTTTTAAAAATCTCTAGAGATTTTTATATTTTTATTCTCAGTGTTAGACTTGCAAACACAATATTTGGTTTTAATCACTAGGATTCAAATTTTTGTTAAAATATTTGGTTTCTATATTAATGAGTCCAAAAAAAAAAAAAAAAGACAAAGATTCTGTTTAATTTCAGTATCTTGCTACTGCCCTGATCACATGAACTTCAGAAGAGCTGACAGCCAAATCAAACAGCTGAGAAATGATATTGGATGCTCAGGATGAAGACTGAAAACCCCTCCCCCTTAAGGGACAAAAAGATTTTTGTGCTTCATTATTAGCCTTTAAAACACCCATCCCCCGAAAAACTGGCTCTTGCCTGTTTCCCTGTTTGACTTCTTAGGAGAAAATGCCATTCGCTGCCTTTCAACATAGATAGAAAATAAAATAAGACAGTGAGATATTTCCTTCGAACAACAGCTGGCTACTGAGATCCATGAGCTACAAAATATTGTGTTAAATTATTTTATATACATTTTTTGATCCAAGGTACTTAGTTATCCTATGAAATAAACACAGTTCTATCCAAGTTACATGGAGTAAACAAAATAGAGTAAACAAAATTTCTATGGCATTCTCACAATTAAGCATCAAACCTGGGAAAATGTTCAAAATGTTAAAAGAATCTAAATCTTTCCCCTGTAAGTAACAAAATTAGCTATAGAAAGCTTTTTGACCCTTTATAGTCTCTAGTATTTACTAGATTTATAAGTCATTCCATAAATCCTATTTAATAATAAAATTGTAGTGCAAAATAGCCTTTGCTTTCTTGAAGACATTTTTTAATTTATATGCTCTAAGTGAAATGCATTATATACAAGTGGGACCTCTTTTCACTGATTTTTGTAGTGATATTTTAATGTTAAGCTTTTAGATTCAGATTTTAAGACTACAAATATAAAAATTTAAAGCTACACACTCATTAAAACACCTGCCAATAAGGCAAATCCATTTTATTTGTATAATAGTTTAGTGTTCAAATAGATAAATCTCCTGAGACAAGCCTTTTCAAATGAGTGATTCTCTAAAGTTTTAAAACAAAACTTGTGTGTCATGAATTATAGTGCACTAGAAACTTCGTCATTGCAGCTGTGAGACTAGGTTTTAAAATTTTATGTTTTAATACACCCAGCCAGCAGCATTTTACTGCAAATGCTACCAACTCATCTTAGGTTTTAATAGGCAGCACCTCAGGGGCCATAGTATCTCATGTGGTTTGACATTTCTCTTGTAAACAACAAAAGCAAATAGCAACAAATGGAAACAAAAACAGGTGTATGTTGAAAGTATGATAATGTTCAAAGCTCTTCAGAGTCCATAGATATACTTAGTTTGACACTGTAAAATTTATAGTATAAACAATAGAGTCCTTTCTTTAAATGTGAGAAATAGTGGACCATCCAGAGTGTTAAAAATATTATGGAAAACATAAGTGAGATATTGTAAATATTCAAAACATCAAAATTAAATGCTGAATATAAGTGGTACATAGTATCAAAGAGGCATTTGTAAGACTTAGTGATTTTCCTGCTTAACACTTACACAAACTTCCCCACTAAGGAGCTGTGTATTCAGATGAGATCTCTCCCAGGCCTACCTTCAATGTCTTTGTAAGCGATAAGGTTGGATGGTCCATTCTAACTAATATTCTTGATAGCAACCCTTCAATATTTAATTTTTTTTCTAAATTGCCACACTCTATTAGACATCTAATTCCTATTTAAAAGCTGAACTTGAAATGTATCATCTGAAGCTCTAGGACCTTAAAATAGTAATTATTTTCAAAGCAATTATCAATGATCTCAGAGGAAAGACTATATAACTTAGTCATAAAGCCAGTTTATTCAAAGACATGGGGATTCACTGGTGGGCTAACCTCTAAGGTTGGTGAGGTCTAGTAGACTTCAGCAAGGTGAGATTTAATGTATACCTGTTGCCTGACTGCTTAACAAAATAGGAATTATAGCCACAGATAAAAAAGCAAGGCCAGGGCAGTGCCTGTGGCTCAAAGGAGTAGGGCACTGGTCCCATCCAGAGGTGGTGGGTTCAAACCCGACCCCAGCCAAAAACTGCAAAAAATTTTTAAAAAGTGAGGCCAAATAAGATTGACGTGTGCTCAGTTCTTCCCATAACTAGCCACCAAAATGTTTATACTTTGGGGGTTTATTTTTTTATCAAAAGATACACACATAAGGCAAATATGCATTGATAGGAACCAAATACAAACTAAAAGTTTCCTCATCAAAGTTACAGTGTATGGTGTTTCAATTAATATCATTGACACGTCCTGATCTCAGAGGAACTCATTAAAATTTCTCTTTCTAGTTAAAGCAAATGAATCCCAAAGTAAAGATGAAAAAGCAAGTCCCTAGACCTACGTGTGGTCATAACACTTCATTTTCAAACAAAGCAGATAAAATAAGTAAGGATAATCCATCATAAAAAGCCACAAGTGGGAAAAAAACATAAAAAACGAGAGCTGGTACAATGAGTTGAATCCTAGGACAGAAGCCCAGTGATTTCCAGAATGACTTAGATGAGAAAGGCCAGGTATGTGGCCGAGTTATGCTCTACCCACCACACGAGTGAGGCGAGTTGTCTGCAGAACAGATTACGTTCCTTTTCTGATGCATCTGTGAAACCAGGGATTCTTTCCTCCTCTAGGTGAGTTGCTGAACCCCTCCCTGGGGTTTTCACTGTGCAGAAATCAGGGGACTCTGAGCTCATGTTCTCAATTGTATGTCACCTAATGGCCCAAGGTCAGCAGCGAATCGGGTGGCTTTGTTGCAACGGGTATTCTGAGAGTGACTTTTTGCCAGAATTGTGCCAGCACATAGGAGCTCTATCTAGGTCTTAAGATCTTTTGAAATGACAACCTCCTTTGACCATATCAAAAGAATAGGGTATTCAGGTGCCCATCAGCCCATGAGTGGATTAACAAACTGAGGCAAATGTACACCATGGAGCACTGTGCAGCCACAGGAACAGCTGGAGACTCGACACACTTTGTATGTAGCTGAAGTTGAAACACACTCTTCTTAGTAAAGGGTCACAAGAATGGAAAAGCAAGTATCCAATGTACTCAGTAATAATATGAAACCAATATATAAACAACTACACACCCATACAGAAGAAAAACACAAGTATAGTCTAGCAAGGGGGACAGGAGAGGGTAACGAGGGAGGAGGGAGGCTGACTGGCGGGACATCACCTGGTGGGCACAGCATGCGGGTGGGTCAGCACGCCCCCTAGTGGGCGGGATCACACTTGATGTGCACAATGTGAGGGTGGGTCAGCATGCCCCCTGGTGGGCGGGATCTGACCTGATGTGCACAGTGTGTGGGTGG